CTATGGCTTTTCATTTGTCTATTCTAATGTGAACACCATCAGATAAGTGCTGAATACCCTGAACAGTGTGCTCCCACAGGGAATGTGTAAGATATTAGAATGACTGGCATGTTGGGCTTTTTTGCCCCACAGTCATCGTATGAGCAGCTGTTGGAAGAAGAACTTGAAGAAACTTTTTTGGCCTAATAAGTACTAAATCAGGATCCAAGTATTTTAAGGTCTTGAAAATCTCCCAGATTGGATTACAGAATCACAAAATGAGTAAAGTTGGAAGGGACCACAGTGGTCACTGAGTCCAATCTCATTACATCTAATTCTTGCTTTTATACAGTTGTCAGAAGTATCATACAATTGCTACCAGTGACCAAGGCATAGGGGATCAGTGAATGGTTCATCTGGCCACCATCTAAGATGGTTTAGCTTGGATGAAGCAAAGACATGGATCTTCTACTTCCTATTACTTTGTGTATTGGAGAACTGACTCTAAGAGAAATGCATCATGTACAGTTTAGAATAACCTGCCCATATGAGATGATTACACAAACCCAGAAGCAAGTTAAATTTAAAAAGACAGTGCTTGACTAACATTGCAGTTATTTCATATTTCTTTTTAACCTCAACACTTAGCATGCTGCTTTAAACCATATTTTTAAGTCAAGAAATTCTGTTACCTTCATTTTATAGATACAGGAAACAGTAGTGTGCAATGATTTACCAAGCTGTCCGGGTCTCTTGATTGACCCAGTCTAAGTGAGGGACCTGCCTGGAGTGCCCACAGCTCCCTTCCCTTCAGGCCATGTAACTAAGGCTCTTTCCCATCAAAAAAAGGACTGTAAAAAGAGAGAAGAGGTGGTCATGTTCTCCTTGTTGACCCAGCAGGAGATGAAACATTCTCCCAGACTGTCAGTTGAGCCATGAATACAGCAGCTAAGGCTGCACTATATTAGCAAATCTGAAGGTGCCCAGATGCAGTAATGCTAATAAACTGTATGCAAGTTTGCTGGCACAAGATTTGGGCTGTTGAAATTTGCACTTACTCCAATTCCAAGCCATGGATGATCCAGGGACCATTCATAAGTAGGAAGTTAAATGAAGCTACACTATTTTGGGAATTACCAGTGGTTTACTGCCATAGATCTGATTCCCTGATAGGTGGCTTTACTGCCTGAAAATGATGCAAGGTACATTTGATTTATAAGTACAGACATAACTTAAGATGCTTGCTGGAGATCACCCAGATAGTCCATGACAGAACTGTGACTACAGGCCAAGTTGCTTGAGTCATGGTCTGGTTCATAATCACTAAGCCACGTTTCCAGTATCGGTGCTCCTCTTTTTCAGCACAAGCTTTTCAACTTGCACAGCAGTAAATTACTTGGACTAACAGCTGTCAGCTTAAGTTTGAATAATTCTGTGCTCCCACAGCTTGCTTAGTAGTACATACAAACTTCTCCACCCACAGATTCCAAATACTGTGAAAATCTAGACACTATTCTGCAATATACACTTAGTCTTTACAGTATAAATATACCCCATGTTTCCTCATCATGGTTCCTCCGCACTACAGCTAAAAGCATGGTCAGTGTCTGTAGGCTTAAATCACATATCCTGAGACCAAGGCAGTGATTCAAGCTCAAGTTCCTTATAAATGTCATCATTAGGATACTTGAACAACATGTAAGAGTTAACAAGTACGCCTTCTTTAGAACTGCAAAAGATTGTGTGGTCCTAGTGACTACAGGTACATATCAGATAAACTATAATAATAAAATATGAATAAATATAATAAACCACCATTTTAAATATATCAGTATTGAAAGCAACCTTTGTGTAACCAATAGAGAAATAGGTGGGGTAATCAAGAACAGGGGACTATTTAGGTGGAAGAACCAAAATATGAAGGGAAAAGAACAACTAAGAAAGAAAAAAGGGCCATAAAAGCAACTTTCCTTCATGTTACCTGCATACACACGCAATCCACAATGCTGCAGAATTAAATATTTACTTTTGCAGAGTTTCTGAGCTCTTGAAAATTTGTTCACTCTCAAAGCTGAATTTCAATAAACTTAGCTTTATTCAGCAGAGCCAAGAAGTTCTGAAGACCTTTCTAGTCAACAATATATCCTTGCACCACAGCTTAACATAACCCTTGGGAGGAACCCTGGGACACATCTGTAATGATATTTGAACAGCAGTGACATGGGCAAGTGACACTTACAAGTATCTAATGCTCTTTACACTGGTTCTCTTAAAAACTCAGAGAGCCCAATTCTACATCTGTAGAGATCTGAACAGTTTGAAAATCACTGCCCGTCCAACCACTTTTAAATAGTTTGGTATGAAGAATATTTTGAGCAGTGATGAAGGAGATGCCTGATCTTTTTGAAAATGTTTGTTATGCATCAAACACAGACCAAAGCCTCTTAAAAGTTTATGAAGGTTTGGATGCAGCAACTCAGTTGTGCATCTACTGACCACCAGATGTTGTACTCAAATGCAGGAAGCCTTATGTATGCACAGCCAGAAGTTCAAGTTTCTTTCTGATGTTGCTAATTTTAATGCCATCTATAACATGGATGGGAGACAAATGCCTGAGAAAGCAGCATTGCAATGATCTCCTTGATGAGCAGAGAGTTCACTTTCCAAATAAAATGAGTTAAGGAACAGAGAAGGGATCAGCAGTTTGCAGGACTGATAGTGTCCTTTTCTCTTCAAGCATTCCAAACCCTTAAGGTCGTGGTACTCTCAGGAGGATTTCTTAGACTGCAGCAAATTCAAGTTCAGCTGAAATGTTCAAAAACCCCTAGCTTGGGAATGGGTTATGGAAGCTGAAGATCTGGCTCCTTAAAGATAAAGGGTGTTTCATATTGCTTTCCTAATTGTTCTGGGGGAAGAAAGCCTTTTGCAGCATGCTCTGTTCAACCTTGGGACTAATGGGAGGCATGAAGGAGTCTTGTTAACAAACAAGAGGTTTTGGAGCTTTGTGAATGGAGAAATTCCACATACAAAGCTGAGTTTTACATGTTATTTTTCATCTTACACAAGTGTAGGAGACATGAGCAGTGAGACCACTAAAAATACTAAAAGTACAGAAGTATTGTTTTTCACTTTACATTATGAATTTTTTTTTTAAAGACAAAGCCCTAAAAAGTTCCCCAGCAAAAGTTTCACATCAAAAAGGGGAAAGCAGGACAAGGAGGAGCAAAGAAATTTGGTAAGGTGACAGAAAGTCAGTGGCAAAGCATTATTTCCCATCTGCCCTTACATCAGGACTTTTCTGCAAGTGCTTGTAGGAGAAGAGGGAGACAGATCATTCAAAGACAGATTCAGAACTCCTTCTTCCCCTGGAAACTGTGCAGAAACCTAAATGTATTTTTGAAGACTATTCAAAAGATTATGAAATATTCTGCCAAAATTTAGTTTTCCTAAAATTTCAGGGTTTTTTTGGGCTGAAACTTTATTGCAAACCTTGTCCACCAATTCTTCCCACTAGCAAAAAGCAATGTATCTTGCAAATTCCATATGGCAATACTATTCTACCAAGAAATTGAATTTTTTTCCCTGTTATGACCTAATTTCCAAAATCCTTGAGGCAATTTTCAGCCTGATAGTGGCAGATGCTGCACATTAGACGACAGTGTTTTGAAGTCAGGATATTTACCTGGATCATAGTATTTATGCTGTTCTCTAGTTTCCTGTGCAATATCCATCATCATGTTATTCAAGCACTCTTGGTATCACTGTGTTGATATAAACAGGACTGATAACACTCATTACAGCTTATAAACCACCATCACACCTTTTTGCAGAATGTGACAAAACATAAAGCAAGCAATAGTTCCTTCTCTAAGTCTCAAAATACAGTAGTTTTGAAGTACCAGGTTAGAATATAGTAAATAATCTTAATGGAAAATGGCAGACCTTTAGTAAACATGGAGTGAGGTACTTTCATTAAGTACACATCTTCTAAGGATCTTCTACAGATAGTGAAAGAAAGAGAAACATAATTTATTTTGACATTTTCTATAGGTTTTAGTCTTCCTCTGAAAGGGTTAGCTGGTGGATTGAGGTTTGGAGACAGCTAGGCCAGCAATCCGTAACTGAGTTGTGGCTCGAGGTGTAACTAATTTATGTCCAGAGGCATGACAAGTCTAGATGCTCCTATTCTGGGTCCCTTTTCTCCTTTGCTGGTTTATAAGGCAGGAAGGTGATTGTGGCCTTAGCCAAAATCATGGGAAAGTGGCAGCCTTTGCCTCAAACGCCACAGAACATTTACCATCCCTGGTTCTTCAAAGAGCCATCCCAGCTTTCTTAGGCTCCCAGCTGCTAAGGTGCCTTTTAAGCTGATGACACAGCTACTGAGCAGCAGATCAGAGCCTAAAGCATGGACAGCACTTGGGATAAGAGGGCAAGCAGGAAAGAAAAGTAGCTCTGTTCCAAAATGAAGACGAGTCTCACTGTACCAACTTTGTGTCTCCACTTTCACACACCAGCCACCATATGTGGGAAGCTTAATGCTGAGAGGGAGGATGGTGAGAAGGCTTATCAGTCTTTCATCTCTCCCCCTTACAAGCACCATCCCCGCTGCTGTTTATGCCTCCCAACCCCAGGGACCAAAGCGCCTATTAGACTCATCATCCTCCCTCTGCGGATGTTCCCCCTGAGAGGTTCATTAGGCCTTGCTGCCTGACAGCAGGCAGTCAGAGAACCAGGTGGCCACCTTCTTTTGCAATGCCAATGTTATTTCCAAGGGGTTAGACTTGCTAGGAAGAAGCTTTTAAATTCCCTGCTTCCCAGACACAGGGAGGGCTCCATAAAACCCTCCCCGCACAGATGGATTGAAGAAAGGCATTAAAATTGGTACATTCTCTGCAGGAGTTCATTACCAGAGGGAAAAGAGAAGTGTGAATCCTTTAGTGTCTGTCAACAAGCTTAGGAAAGCAGTTTCCGCAGCCCTTCCTATCCCAGGATCACAAAGAACTTCACTTGCATCACTCGAATATACTCCACTGCATCATGTAACAGTATGATCGTGTTGTAGATGGAGATGAGCCTGGTGTCCATTCACCCTTGAAAAAGAAAAAATGGAAGCAGGGAGGACTAGTTTAAACTTCATTGCTGCTACTCTTCCCGCTTCTCAGTCACTCCGTAACTCAATACAATATTATCTTTCTTCTCAAACTTCAAATCTATTTTATAACCATAGTTAGACTTTATTGAGTGGCTTGAATTTTTGGGCACAGTATAGAAAGGAACAAAAATTTCTGGCAGAAAAGATATCAATGAGGAAATAATGGAAAGAAATCTGAAGGGAAGGACTTCAACAGCCACTTCAAGATGCAACTTAAAATACTGAACCTATCACCACTCAGTCCTACTTTTTCCTACCTACACACAGACTTGCTATGGGCACTTCCTCATGCGTCTGCTATCGTGGGTTATAGGGGAGATATCTTTGTTAGGTAAGGAAAAATTACCTTTCCACCTTGTATTGAAGGAGGCTTCAAGAGCTCAGTGACTGCTCTCTGCACTTTCTTCTTTGTACCAGTATGCGTAATTTGGCTCTTGTTAGGTGTGACTGCTCTTCCTTTCTAGACCATGGAGAGAGAATGGGAATGGGTAAGGTAGCTGACTTTTAAGGGGGGCTTCTCTGCGATGAATTAAAAACCTCACAATAATAAAACAGTATAATTATATAATAGCATTTTTCTAATCTGCTATTTTCAATAGAAACTTTATTTATAGAGCAGCCATTTAACACGGAAGTGTGGGAGTCGCAGCAGCATTTCAATTGAATGTCAGGAAGAACACTGGCTTGTAGTTAAGTGACAAGAAGAGAAGAGTTGGATGTTAGGCTGAGAAACAAGATGACCTCGGGCAAGTCATTATACCTCCCTCTGCCTCACTTTCCCATTCTGTTAAGCTGAGATTTAAACAATTACCTGGCCTGCCAAGTGTAATCAGTATGTAAAGAGCTCTAAAGTGGGCACACACTCAACTGATCCTCACACAACCACCAGCACTCTTAGGAACAGGCAAGAGGGAGGTAGCAAGATTCAGTTGCAGGCTGTCTTCCACTGCAAGCATTGGATATTCTTGGGAATCGTAAAGACTGTGTGCTTAGATACATCCATAGTTTCCTCATGCTCCTGTTAGATCAGGACTAACATGATGACATGGAACAGCTAACTGCAGACAGGTGTAAGAGCCAGAAAGACCACAAGGCCAAAATCAGGACATCAGAAGCAGAGAATCATGGGAACCACCATTTAAACAACAAAAATTGCACTTCGGAAGCACGTAGCCTGCAAAAAAACCCCTTTTGGATAGGGTGGGTGCAAGGCCACATCCTATTGGGTAGCTGTGCTGCACTGATTGATATCAATATGGGAGATTAAAAGTACCTTTCTGCTTCTGCTATATATATTCATCTAGGCAACATGAACAGAGGAAGAGTACAGATACCAACAGTGCAGCCTACTCACGCACACACACAGTTCTGCAGCACATACAGCAAATATGACACATCAGTCGGGGAGTCAAAGAGTTTTGGGGACAGAGTACAGGCAGCAGATCAAGAGCTCACAGAAAAAAACTTTACACCTGGGCACAGAAAAGACATGCATACTTCAGGGAGTCCCTCCTGCTCCCATTGAAAAATGTGCTGTTGACATCATTTATGCTCCTTGGAGTAAACACCAGCTTCCCTTGAAAGACAGAGGGACCATATGGGAATATGGGCTGGTTGGTGGAAGCTGTTTGTCCTCTGTGGGTGCAAAATATCCTAGTATCACAGAATCACAGAATACACCTAATTGAAAAGGACCCATCAGGATCATCAAGCCCAGCTCCTGGCCCTATGCAAGACACCCCAAAAATCACACCATATGCCTGAGAGTGTTTCCAAATGCTTCTTGAACTCAGACAGGCTTGGTGCTGTGACCACTTCCCTGGGAAGCCTGTTCCAGTGCTCAACCACCCTCTGGGTGAAAAACCTTTTCCTGATATCCAACCTAAACCTCCCTTGACTCAACTTCATGCTGTTTCCTCAAGTCCTGTCACTGGTCACCAGAGAGAAGAGATCAGTTCCTGCCCATCCTCTTCCCCTCAAGAGGAAGTTGTAACTGTAATGAGGTCTCCCCTCAGTCTCCTCCAGGCTGAACAAACCAAATAACCTCAGCTGCTCCTCATATGGCTTCCCCTCCAGACCCTTCACCAACTTTGTGGCCCTCCTTTGGATGCTGTCTAATTGCTTAATGTCATTTTTATGTTGTGGTGCCCAAAACCGCACACAGGACTCAAGGTGAGGCTGCCCCAGTGCAGAGCAGAGTGGGACAATCCTCTCCCTCGACTGTCTGGCAATGCCCTGCCTGATGCCCCCCAGGACAGGGCTGGCCCTCCTGGCTGCCAGGGCACTGCTGACATATTCAACTTGCTGTCAACCAGGACCCCCAGGTCTCTTTCCATGGCACTGCTCTCCAGCCTCTCATTCCCCAGTTTATACACACAACCAGGGTTGCCCTATCCCAGGTGCAGAATCTGGCACTTGCCCTTGTAAAACTTCATATAGCTGGTGACTGCCCATCTCTCTAATTAGTCTAGGTCTCATCCCCATGAGTTGTGAAGATCAGGAAGCAGGAAATCGGGGATACAAGCACATAAAGTCATGATGTGGCTGTAGCCTGGCTAGATGACATACGATGGACTCAGGAGCGGGGTATGTTGTAGACAACTTGGGAGCAGGAATTTAAGAAGCATGAGCTGCAGGGCAAAATCCAAGGGAGAAGTTCTTTATAGCTATACCAGATAGATTGCTTGAAGAGAAGTATGCTCTGAATTAAAGGAAACTGAGTTAATATCAGTAACTCAAGGCCTATGCATGCAGAATTCAGTATAAAGTGAGTTTCTTCCATTATTTTCCTGCAGAAATAAAGTTGCAGGCACTTCTGGTTGCTGAAAGACTTAAAAACACACGGATAAGATGAGGTACAACAGAACTGTGTCTATGATTGGAAAGACTGTGCAATCAATGTATAATTAACCTGTGAAACTTGTTGCCAGAGGATATTATAGAGGAAAACAGATTAGCAAGATTCAGAAAAGGATTAGACCTTACAAGAATAGCATCTGCAGCTAGGCTTGCTAAAATAAAAACCATATGGGTTATTAGTCTTCTCACTTCAGGGTATAAAATGATCGCAAGTTGGGGTCAGAAAGCAATGTCTCCCTATTATGTAGCATTGTAAAACAGGGCACACCAGGGGGTTGTTACGAGTCTATCTAAAGCATCCTGCACTGGCAATGGTTAGGACAGAATACTGGACTAGATGGGCCATTAGTTTGATACAGACGAGCAATTTCTTATACCATTCTGCCCTCATTTCCTGGGAGAATTCCACTCCCCAAACTGATATGCACTCCAAGCAATTGAAATTCAAGTGTAAACATGTTATTGCTTGAGCAATTTGTGGGCATACAAAGATACAGACTAGCACTTACACCCCAAATAGAGGCGCCTTGTGGACTAAGAGATTTTTCTATTATAGCTTTGTGATGACCACCTACAGACTTGATGGCTGTCATTCAGCTGGTCAGCGTCAGTGGAGGTGGAACCAAAATCCCTCTTGCACAGGCTCTCAGTTTGAAAGCAGTAGAGAAATCCCCTGAATGTAGGATGGATCCTACACCATTTGCAGCTGCATAGTTTGCCTACCCCATGGGAGAAAAAACCAGGATGGAGCAAAACAAGGCAAAGGACAGACTAACATTCCATTTTTTCTGATGTTGCTGAGGTTTTTCCTTTCCATGTCTTATGTGGGTAGGAGCCACATTCTTCCCCTGTCTCCCTGCTGCATAGCAAGTTAAGCAAAGAGTGTCCCTCTATCCTACTGCCTCAGACAGGAACAAGACTGGGGGAGAAAAAGGTGAGAGGTGGCAGGTGAGGCAAGAGCAGAAGGTATGCAGAGAGGCAGTAGGGTAGGTGTCAGGAGGTGAGGAAAAGAGCAGGACTACAAACAAGTGGCACTAGTGTGTGAAGCAGAGGGGTAGGGCATTCGGTGAAGGAAGAAGGAGTTTCTAAGGGCACAAAGAGTGCAGGTGGATGACTGTATGATCAACCACAAGGTCACATAGTGCAGCAGCAAAGGCTAACATCCATGGGGTGCAGACGGACAGGCAGGCAAACACAAGCAGAAGGGGAAGGTCGAGTGGGAAGGAAGGAAAACACTCTACTTCCTACTCAAAGCCACAACCAAAAGCAAAGCAAAATTTCAGTGACGACAGAGGTGAAAATGTTTGATCATAGGTGGGGACACTGTGCCAGTGATGCTGAGAAAGTGCATTTATACGGGCACCTGCTTAAAAGTAGGTGGCATTGCCATTACACTGCTTGGAATTTGAGCAGCATAGGGTGAGTGCTTCATGTCTAGCAGGTGTGCAAGAAGCAGAGTAAATCTCCTCAGCTCCCCTTTCCATCCCCAGAACAAACTATTTCAGCATTAAAATGGGATTTAAGACTATCGGACTAGGAACAAAGACAACTTTGGGTAGTGAACTATTTATACCATCCTAGACATATGTAGTATGCACACAAATTTTAATGGGATAGGCTCTGCCTTTCACATGAGCTTGTAACTCCTGAATTTCACTTTCTGATTCTACTCCCAGTCACTTCAAATGCCTTTGTGAAGAGTTTAGAGCCCTTTATCTCCTATCTCCTCTAACACTGGCCATAGCCTTTTACAGCAGAAACCATATTTTTGGGACATGTCTAGTACAACAGGGACTGGACCCTTGTAGAGATCATTCAGTTTTCTGAATAATACAGTTAAATGTTTTCCACCTGCACCACCAACATCTCTCAGCCCCTGACTCGAAGGTCAAGTGTCCACTCTGCATCAGATAGCCTGATCTTCAGAGACTGCATTTACTCTCATAAAGGTCAAACTAGTAACACAGCTATTTCCCCTCAGAATTTTCTGTGATCCTGTGTTACCTCTGCAATCGAGAAGTTATTTCTCCCTCTCTTCTGAACTGTGGCCTATCAGACTTGGCAGTTGTCTCTTGACTTACAGTGACCAGCCCCTGGAAGGTTCCTCTCAGTCTTGAAAAGGTCGGGTGCACATAAACTCTCACACAAACACATGTCCACAGAAACACACACAGATGCCAGGATTCACAGATGCACACACAGCTTCCTAGCTTCTCACTGCTGTTTTCAGCAAGGACCACTCAAAGTGTTTAGCCTGACATGCTGTGATGATGATGTAAACGGAAAAAGAAAAGCCCTTCACCTGTGAAACTAATTAATAGTCAACAAACTTGCTTCAAGGTAGGAGAGCTGGCACTGAAGGCGAGAGGCTGTCCCGGGGAGTGGCAGGAGCCAGGCACAGCTGCTAGGTGGCAGCAGCCATTCACTCAGCACAAAGCTGAGGCTCGCCAAGGTGGCTGCTGGGTTTAATTCTGTGAGAATTTGATGCCCATCAAAGTGAGCCACTGTTATAGCCCCCACTACAGCAAAACTGCTCAAGGCCGCTGCTGTCGCTGCCTGTGATGGGAGCATACATAAGCATGAAAAGAAAGCCATC